GCCTATACTGCATAAAATATGTTCCATATCTATTTCAATATTTTATGACAACCATGTGACTTCTTCCTCAAACTGTAGGCGAAAACGTCTTTTTCCTTAAACAGGATGTACACAGTGCGCAGGTTTTGAACCTTGAATTCGAGTGTATCAGTCACTAGGTTAGAAAATTACTCGGCAAACTTTTTACTTTACTTTTTTACTTTCTAGTGTGGCCTACGTGTCCAGGTCGGGTGGCATGTCAAATGAGCTCAACAATATCATCGCCCTCAACACGGATGGAGTCGCGGAGGGTGTCGCCATTGGTGGCGACCGATTCCCGGGCAGTACCTTTTTGGATCACATCCTCCGCTACGAGGCGGACCCCAGTGTACACATGCTGGTTCTCCTGGGCGAGGTAATTTCACCATCACCACCAATTCCTATTCTACTTTCTGCTCAGGGTCAAGACAGCTTGCAGGCTGTCATTTCAGTGTCGGTGGATTCCACCTATAGGGTGACAAAGTTAAATTCCCTCTTCGGTGTATGCGTGTGTTTGTCTACCGGGGAATATTGGGTGTGGGTTGGAAGGTCGTACACTGGCCAGATGACGTGGTCCTTCAGGCTGAAGTCAGGTTGCAGGTCAGGTCTTTGACTACTCAGCTTTCTTTACCCATTTTGGATGTTATTGCATGGGAATTGGTGTCAGAAACCATGTCCACCTTCGCTTCCAACGCGAAAGAGGGCAGGGGTGGACGGCAACTGGCAGTCGGTTCATGAAGCGAAGTCAGGTAATGAGACCAAAAGAACCGCTGCCACGGTACAGGACATCGGGAATCCTTTATCGGTTCTGGTGCAGTTACGGGCGAATCAAGCACGTCGGATGATCTGGAAGACTACTGCAGATGCGAATAGCCGAACACGTGCTAGCAGTGGGGAGAAATGACGCCACCTCGTAAGCTGTGGTCTATTCGACGAGACCTCACCAAGAAGTCAAGTCCGCGAGAGCTGATAATCGCTTGAGCCGTGGGCTTGCCTGAGTCATAGTTCACGGCTCTCCCAGTGTTATGAATTTTTCGTTCCATACTTGAAACTGGGAATTGGTTTGGCCAAAACAATCAACCACTCGGGCAACGCGCTGGCAGTAAGCGAGGTGGCCGATCAATCATCACGCCACACACCAAAACGGTTGATGGAATTTCAGCAGGTATCGACCCGCGTGCCGGCCATTAGGTAATCAGCGCACAAGCGGGTGCCTAACTTCGATAAAGGGGGAGCTTTGGATGGTCATAGGTATGCACTAGCACAGCGATTGCATCTTTTAAATACTGCAAATCTCTGCGTTTTCATATCTGGCCTACTCAGCCACTATGACCACACCTGTCCTCGGTCTCGTCGTTAGAACCCTGTTGGTGAAGTCAGTGCCGCGCAAGTCACCACCACCCTTCCCCCACCTCCCCCCAGGTGCTCTTGATTGTCGCCAATTCTGATTCTGTCTATAATTCTAGCCGTTGTGCGGCTGCTGGCGGGTGAGTGAGTTCCTTTAGCGATTGGTGAACGTTCATCAACAGGTGTCAATATATCCCCATCTAAACCGGCAAGACAATGTACCCGTGGCTCAGTGGCTAGACCGTTATGCTTCTGATTTGGTGCACTACGTGGGGCTGAGTATGACTGGCTGACGACGGCTAATAAGCCCGAAATGATCCTTCCAGTCTGCCTTGTCTTTGTCGGCAATACTCTAGACTTGAACTGGTCACCACGCACTACTTGTCGGGACATAGGAAGTTTACAATTGACGTGCTCACTTGGAAATACGGAGGCTTGACGGTTACATTGCAATGGCCCCTTTCGTCTGTGGGCCGTCTAGATAGGATGCCCGGATACAGTAGTCGCCGGCTATTAAGCCCACCTCGGGTCCAGACCAAATTGGTCTTAATAGGCGGCGGGCGCATTAACCGGAGAGTTCTAGCTCTTGATTAGCAA